TTTCAGCTCTGCTGCCAATGCCAACAATTTTGTTACGAAAAATGAATAATAAAAATAATTTAAAAGCGTACATACCGAGGTCGTTCACTGAGAGATTTGGAGTTATTCGAAACATCCCATGCACATATAGTGTCGATGATATAATTAATAACGCCGTATCCGATATCCCGATTAAGCCCGCTGTCCGTTTCCAAAGAAGAAATCCCAACAACAAAGACGAGTGGATTCCCACAACCAGCATCAAAGTTGGCTTCAAAGGGAGAGCCCTCCCTAAGGCAATAACATTTAACTATTGTAATCTGCCGGTCGAATACTTTATACCCACTTTAAAGCAGTGCAGATACGGTCACGTATCTAAATTCTGTAAAGCTAAAGAGAACAGGTGCCTTAACTGTGGAAAGTCTCCGAACTGTGTAAATTGTGAGGCGATGAAGTGCTTGTCCTGTGGCTCAGGTGAGCACAACGCTCTCAATAAGTGTTGCCCTAATAGGGAAATTGAATTAAACATCAACAGGATAATGGCGATTAAAAACCTTTCGTATAAAGAGGTCAAAGAGAATTTTTCCGAAAATTATTTCGAATGTCTCGATGACATCACCTATGACGACAATTTCCCTCCACTGGGGAACACGTCTGTAATTTCGACCAAGGATGATAATCAAAATGCCAACAAAATCTTAACCAAAAATAAATACAATGCTGTCGTCAAAAGTAAATTGATTCCCTCCAAATCTCTTATCAATTCACCTCCCAATACACCCCCCAAGTCGTCTGGAAAAAGCCTTCTTGGACCGAAAATTTCAAACAACTATTTGCGGTCTTCAGAACTTGAAACATTAATTCTCGCGATTCAAGAAAGTATCCGCCCGATGATCCCTCACAATCTTATTAAACAATTTGAAGAAAAAATGTCTGTCTGTGCTATTTCTTGCCCCGTTCGAGCATCCAGTACTGCGAGGAAATCCGCTGGGGTTCTTTCTGAAGTTTCAACATGATATCCTTTTTACAATATAATATTCAAAGTGTCCGACGTAACTTATCTTTTCTAGATTTTTTCTTAAACTCAAACAAGATCGATTTTTGTATCTTAAGTGAAGTTTTTCTGAAAGATGAAAATTGTTTCGAAGTTAAAGTTTCGAATTATGCCTCAGCCACCAAATGCCGAAATGATGGCTATGGTGGTATTAGTATATTAGTTAAGAAAGGTGTCAATTTCAGACGTATTCCCTATAACTCTGCCGTTGACATCATCATCATCAAAATCATCAACCTGAAACCGAATCTTTTCATAGGCTCATGCTACTTTCCACCCAGTCTCGATGTGCAAACCTTTCGTGATGAGATTCAGAGATTATGCGACTTTCTTGACGGTGAACAAAATATGATTCTAGCTGGAGATTTCAATGCAAGACACCGCCTGTATGGCGATCGCGTCTCTACCAACAAAGGCAAAATCCTTGTAAATGCCATCAATTCGAGCAGTTTCAGTGTCTTAAATAACGGCAATACTACCTTTCACTGTAACCGGAGCGGTCGCACGGCGAGCAGTGTCTTCGATCTAACTTTCTCGAACTCAACTATTCTATCTTTCAACTGGGACACGTCCAATGTTTCCATTGGCAAAGTCAGCACTCCCCCATTATATTCCACAGTTGTAACAATTCCGTCAAGAAAATAGAAAATTTCATTTCACGTAACTTCCTTATGGACCGTCTGACTAAAGTTGATCTTTCTTCTGATTTATCATCAATTCAATGTGCCTTTCAGTCTGTGATCATGTCTGCTAGAACCAACTTCCCTGACATTGAGTCCTTCTCACCTAAACCTTGGTGGAATCCTTCCCTGTCAACACTTTTCCGCAAATACCAAGCTGCAAGAAAAAAAATGAGTAAATATGCCAATCCAGCCAACTACATTGAATATATGAAAATATTGAAAGAATGGAGGTCTGCAGTTAGAAAGGCGAAAAGGGTACATAGAGCCATCGCTATTAAAGAGTTATGTGGTAATGGCAACCCACGTTCCTTCTGGAATTATATCAATGGTCATCGACATTCTAGTCGAAAATTAAGCGGTTGTGCGGTATGGAATGACCGTGATAATAAAAAATACTTAGATATGCTCAAGAGCTACATTCCAATTGTTAATCCTATTACAATGCCTTCGATTCCTTTTAGTAGTATCAGTAACACACCCTTTTCATTGCATGAGCTAATGTATGTTTTACATTCCAGAAAGAGAGCTACTGCTGCAGGTTGTGATGGAGTCAAGTATGACATGCTCACAGCACTGTCTGGAGGAAGAGTTAGCATGCTTTTGCATGCAATTAACAACTGCTGGTCCACCAACTTTATACCCTCTGATTTGCGTTGCATCAAAATAGTTCCCATTCCCAAGCCAGGTAAAGACTTAAATGATTTAAGTAGCTTCAGACCAGTTTCACTAATATCTGCATTCATAAAGACCATCAACCTCATGGTTAAGGAGAGACTAACTGCTTTCCTGAAAACTGAGAACATTATTCCAGCTCGGTCTTACGCCTATCAAAAACGCAAATCTACGAATATGTGCATTAATGAACTGTGTTTTCTCATAGCCAGCTTAAAAAAAGCAGGGAAAAAGGTTGTCATGCTCTCCCTGGACATCAGCAAAGCCTATGACTGTGTGAACTTGATTAAGCTCGGTAGAATTCTCCTAAACTTTTCGATTCCTCTTCAAATGCGGCTGTGGATACTTAATTTTTTATCCAAGCATGTGTTGGTGATGGGTACCGAAAAAATTGAAACATGTGGTGGTATCCCACAAGGCAGTTGTTTAAGCCCCATACTCTTCAATTTATACGCAGCGTCTTTGCATGATCTTCAAGATGACAAAACTCACATTTTTCAATATGCAGACGATTTTCTAATCGTATCTGCGGACTCATCTTTTCCAGCAGCTGTCAATAGCCTCTCGATGAAAGCGAACTTGTTTTTCGATGTATGCGCTGATCTTAATTTATATTTTAACCCCAGCAAGACAAACACTATTTATTTTGCCAAAGGTTCTAAACGTGAAATCAGACTTCTTATCAAAGGTACCCAAGTTAATCAGGTAAAATCTCTTCGATTTCTTGGGAGAATTTTAAATGACAGCTTAACCCTTCGTGGGCATTATGAAAAGGCGGTCAAAGATTGTCAGTCTGGATGCAACATCATCAAACTCATGATAAACAATCAGGCAGGCTTGCCTCCCAAAAATGCTTTAACCGTTTACAAATCTCTAGTTAGGTCCAAAATTGAATTTGGACATTCCACATGCTGCAATTTCCCAAAATATATTGAAAAATGTATACAAACATTTGAAAACCGAATGTTAAAGCGTTGTACTGGACTGACCCCCTCAACTCCTCAACATATTCTCAATGTTATATCTGGTGAATGGCCAGTTTCCGAAAGAGCCCTTTTTTGCACTGCCAAGGAGTTAATTAAAGTCAAGATGATAAATCCTTCTTTTTTTCAGGAAATTATATCTCTCAGTGACACTGTCACTTGCAGCTATACTTTTTGCTATCAAAAACTTCGTCATATTTTTGATGAGTTAGAATCAATTCCCCCCTTGAATTTCATTACCAGCAAATGCAAAGTCTTCATGAACATTCTCGAACCAATCTCTACCTCAAAACAAAATGTCAACTTCTCTTGTATAAGGTTGTTATGCCAAGAAAAGCTCCTTTTTTATTACAACAAAGGATATGATATATATGCCACTGACGGTTCCGTCGCACATAATGTATCTGGCTTCTCGGTCGTGAAACATCCATCTGAAACAATACTTCGAGTCAAAGTGGAAGAGGAACTTTCCTCTACTTTTATTGAGTTGCTCGCCATTCGACATGTTATCGTGGTTGCTATTTCCGATGGTATCAGACGTTTTGTTATTTTTTCCGACAGCAGGTCTGCTCTATTCTAATAAATAAAAGAGATGCAGAAAATCAATATGTGTTTGATATTCACAAGATGTTGCATGAATCTCAAGTGGATGACTGTCACCTCGTTTGGGTACCTGGCCACTGCGGCTTTTTTTTAAATGAAAAAGCCGACTTTCATGCAGGGAGAGCGCGTGTCGATGGGACAATTTTGTCCATCAAATATACTCCCAATGAGGCAATTCGGGCAATTCGCAACCACATCTTTCAACAGCTAAACGACGAATTTAAAGAAATCGCGCGCGTTAAATCCAATCGTCTTTTCTATAAATTAAATCCCACATTTCAATTCAAACCCTTCTCTGTATCTTCTTTTAATTCCTGGGAAATCAAAATTCTTTATAGACTCATGAGTGGTCATACTTATGACAAAGTTTATTTAAAAATGATTCGCGCTATACCATGTGATGTTTGTGAAGTTTGCAATGTTGTTGAGTCTGCTGAACATCTAATCTTCAGATGTCACAGGCTTGATGGCATTAGAAATTCCTTTAGCTTCTTCAAGTTATATGGCTGTCTCCTCGATCTCTTTGCAGCAAAAAATGTACGTCATCTCGGGGACCTAACTTGCTTAATTAGAAAAGCTAATTTATCCTTTTAAAATTTTTTTTTTTTTTCCTCTTCTTTCCTTTTTTTTCTTTCGTTTTTGCGTTTAATAATCTTCTATTACCATAGCATTGCTTTTCGTTTTCAGCCAAAGTTTGCAACACTGTTTAACTCTCAAGAACTCAACAAGCACAATTACACACATACACACACACACACAATTACATTTAACACGCTCACTCCGCGTTATTACGGCCGCTCTTATTTTTTTGTTACGTTTTATACATAATCGTGACTAAAAATTACAACAGTTTATTATCTGGACATATAAGCCACAAATCTATTGGCTTAGTCCATCCATGTTCAACATACCAAAAAAAAAAAAAATTAAATTTGCAAATAAATTTGTGAATTGTCAAGAAAAACAAAATTTGGGAAAGGTAGGTGCAATTTATTTTAAATATCGTGCTAAATTACACAAGGTGACGTAATTTCCTCTTATGCTCGCCCATTGAAGAGGAGGACAAGGACAACTGCGACAAACGCACAACAAAGAATTACCTCGAGAGGGCGAGAATGCCTTTGCGGGATGCTATCGATCCCCTAACGCTGCCTCAAAATGACTAAGCGAGTTGTTTCTAGTACTTGCAAACGACATATAAATACATGTTATATTGCTGTACATAAATTTAAGCAGAGGTCCGACGTTTTCAATACTACGTACTAAGAAAAATTGGTATGAGTGAGGTGTGAGTACATATACGGCGAAGGCGTTGCGCTTAGTTTCACAGTAATTGGATTTAGAACCATACCATAAGCGTTGCATAAAGCACATTATCAAGTGTTGTGTTACAGGTGTTTCAAAGATTGGAAACAAAGCATTGTGTGGTGTGGATACAATGGACCGTGCTCAAATCGATTTAAAATTTGATGCTCATCATACATATCAACATGTATGCTTTCTGGGATGTCGGAAGCTTCCTCTGCTCTCAAAGCACTGCATAGGCCTTAACAAACGTGGCTAGATTTCCTAAATGAGTTATGCGGAATTCTATCGTTTCATTGAACTGTAAGTAAACATGATGGGTCAAGTGTCACTTTTCTATATCAAACTGAGAGGGAACTTTTCTATATCAAACAGATGTCCAGATGGCATGAGATTAAATCGAGATGGCATGAGATTAAGCGAAATTGCGATAATAACATCGTATGTAAAAACAAAAATTTTGATTAAAAGCAACTGCATAAAATCTGGACGATCAAATAGTAATCTCTAAGAACAATGCGTGCGTTTCACATGCATTTACACACTTTACAAATACAAGTAATTCTAATATCTATGAACATATGTGCCTGTGTATGCGTATGATATTTGTGTTCAAAAAAAGAGGGAAAAAAAAGACAAAAAACTGGTTTTCTATTTTTAGATGCCGTTTTCTTTAACAAAAAGTGTTTTTTAACATTTGTTTTGACACCGGTGGATATATTGCATGCACACTTGTGCACTTATGCGCAATCGATAGTCTAAAAAATATTGGGCCATCAGATAGTCAGTATTCAGTATATTGACCAAACAAAAACCCATCCCATGTCTAAAACAAACTAAGAAAAACGTGAATTGCGGGAAGGACTCTAAGAGCAAAAAGATATTGAAGAAGAACTAGTTTCTCGCCAATTGTATGCGAAGTGCAATGCTCAATTTCGATGATATTTAAAATTTTTCAATTTTTGACTATTGAAAAGTAAAAAAATAAAGTCAAGTATTAAGAAAAATCTTGGCTTTATTTAGGATGCACTCCTTGGAGCTCTTAACTTTGGCATAGCTGCTTCATAGCTTGCATTCCTATTTCGGATCATTCACTCCTTTGTTTCTTTCTTAACTACAAGAAACCCTTGTTTGCAAGAAAAATAGCATGCGTCAGCATTGGGCTTTTCCAATATCAATTTTTTTCATCTTTTAGCGATCACTTTGCAGATTTGCTGCATTTTGACGATTTCAAGTTTTACTAATGACTTTTTATATTTCACTTAACTAATTTCCCAGTGACCCAAAAAAAAGGCATATGAAATTCTAAAAAAGGAATAATGTAATTATGAGCGAAAGTCTGTGAAATTTTTTTCTTGCTAACGAAGCGTTCACATTTAAAATGAGAACACATCGACTGCACATAAATGAAAAATGTCCTCAAAAACAGTACCTTTGCCCAATCTATATTTAATGGTCGAGTAGACCTCTTCTGTACAAAAGTCTTGATCGCCTTATTTACTCTAGCAGGGAAAGCTCCTGTATTTAATTCAAAGTCATATACATATGCAAACAATAAACTTTTGTGGTGGTATAATAAATTTTTGTGGTCGTACAATAAATTTTTGTGGTCGTATAATAAATTTTTGTGGTCGTACAATAAATTTTTGTGGTCGTATAATAAATTTTTTGGTCGTATAATAAATTTTTTTGGTCGTATAATAAACTTTTTTGGTCGTACAATAAATTTTTTGGTCGTACAATAAATTTTTTTGGTCGTATAATAAATTTTTTGGTCGCATAATAAATTTTTTGGTCGTACAATAAACTTTTCATGTCGTATATTAAATTTTTTAGAGAATAAACGCATATTCGTTCTCAATCATTTGTATACAAATTCCATACAACTGAGAATGTCTGAATGCGGTTGTTTACAATTCTCAATCATCTTGCATGTATTGTACGACTTTCGAGAATAAGCGCATATTTGTGCTCAATAATTCAACAAGCCTTTGTAAAAAAGCCATCGATGCGAGATTAAGCGTATATGTTCTCAGTAATTTGTATAGAAATTCCAATTCATACAGCTGTCGCATGTATAAAA